ATATATATATATATAATTCATTAATGAGTATTTACTACAATATTTCCACTGTAGTGAGAGATTTCATAGTGCATCCCAACTGCCTCTAATCCTGGGGTGGGAGTAAATGGATGCCCAAGAAGCTCCAGGGGACAGGTGAACTGGGTTTGAAGTAAGTATTATATCACCCGGCCACAGAAGGAAAGAAGAAGGAAAGGAGCAAGAAGGAGCAAAGGCAGAGGAGAGAGAAGAACAGGTGCTAGAAGTAGTGAGTGCTCCGGTTGGGATGGAATGCAGGAGAGCACAGTGAAGGACGGGACTGGAAATTCAAGGTGGAACTAGTGGGGACAGGCTCAGCACACCATGAGCAGGGATTTAGACTTCATACTTAAGAAGATGGGAATCACTAAAGCTTTGAGCAAGGGGGCAAAATCATCCAAGCTGTGCTTCGGAATGTCATCACAAGTGTGCCGAACGCATCAGGAAGACAAAGGGAAAGACAGAAAAGTCTCCGGGCACTAGTGTTCTAGCTACGGGAGAGGGTGTGGAGGCCTGAGCCCAGATGGCTTCGATGGGAAGACGAGGAAGGGAATGGATCCTGGAATCATCACAAAAGTAGGATGGCTAGGATTCAGGCTCTGTAGAAAGCAAGAAGGCAATCAAAAATGATGGTGTTGTTTAGAATCTGGGAAGATGACATAAATAGACAAGACAGAACACTCAGGGGAGAGCAGGTTTCTTTTGAGGAAAATGGTAAGGTTTTCTCGGAAGAAGTTAAATTTAAGTGCAGGCAATATGTCTGAGAAGATAGCAGGTAGGCAGAAGTTTTGGTTAGAACTCGAGAGAGAAGGAAAACTTAAAGTCTTCAGTCACTCACGTGGAGCGAATGTGGTTGTGGACAAGGTAACTGAGAGCCAGAGAAAGGCACCAAGAGCATCTCCATCAGGGGGCAGACAGGGCAGAAGAGGAGCCTGCAAAATGGTACATCATACATAGGGAACTGTTGACGGCCACATCCCAGGGCACTGATACTAGTACATAAGAGCATCTACCAGGAAACCATTAAAAGTGGAGTGGCCAGTCTGGGTCCACACAATAAGAAGGTGGTTGCACTGCAGTTTGGTAAATCTCTCAATATGACCCTCAACCTTATGCCTTCAGCCAAGGCTTTAGTGGCTATTACCCTCAGATATCTACCAGGTGTAGTGGGAGAACCAACTAGGTTCCCAGGAGCTACAGGAAAAGTTTCAAGGAAAAGGAATAACCACTTAGGGTAAAGAAAGCTGAAGGCTGAGAAAGTCTTTTGTTTTGAGGTATGATCAGTGATCTTCAAGATAAAGTCTTCAGTAGAATGGTGGGGAAGACAGATTACAAACGAGGAGTGAGCAGAAGATGAGGAGCAGGCATCAGACGTATATTCCTTTGGGCAATTTGACAGAGTGGAAAGATCTAAGAGTATGTTATGGGGGTCACAGCATTTAGGAAAAGAGGTTGATTTTTTGAACAAGGAGGCCTGGACATGCGAGTTAGGAAAAGAACAACAGCAGCAGCAGCAAAATCAATGGAGAAAGAGAATATACAAAGGAGATCGAAGGAGTGAGATCTCCTAGAAGGTCAGAGTCAAGAGGAGAAGGTGCAAAAATTATAAATGGCCTCAGAATGGACAGCGCTATTCCTCTGGGATGGAAGAGAACATGTGTAGATTCAAAATAAGTTTAAGGGGAAGACTGAAGAGGAACACAAGAAGTTAAAAATCAGATGGATATGATTCAGTAAAGTAAGAAATAAGGTCCTCTCCTGGCGCTTTTCAATTTAATAAACATATGAGTACATACTCTATGCCTGGAGCCGTAGATACACAGATGAACAAGAGACTCCCTGCCTCAAGTTCATATTTTCATTATCTCAGGTGACCTCACTCTTTGAGGAAGAAAAGGCAAATATCATTCCCTGTCAACCCCAGATCCACATCAACAGAATACCTAAGGGAGGTATTTTGCCAGAAGGAAAATGATCCCACATGGAAGTCTGGCAACCAAGGAGGAACGAAGAGCACCAGAGGATAACCAGGAAGGTAAATCAAAGCAAAATACCCTGTTTCAAACACCAGCAATAATAGTCAATGCCTTGTAAGGTTTAAAATAAATGGCACTAAAAGATAAGGTCACAATACACGAAGGGCAAGAAGGTAGTAAACGAGTTCTACGATTTTTTTTCCATCGCCCAGAAGTAGTGAAAACACTAATGCACAGTAGATGCTAACAAGTCAGGTTTGAATGCTGTCATTTCTATGGTATCCACTGAAAGAAAAAAACAGTTTAATGAATGTTTAATAAATTGAGAGAGGAAACAAATAATACAGAAAAATACTTGGTAAATCTAATATCATATATGGCATGTAGAGGCTTGATGACTACTCCTTAGGAGACCTAATCCTAAAACTCACAAGTATGTGAAATGTCCATTATATTTAGGTCATCAAATATCTTTATTTATTACCGAATAAGACAGAGGTTTTTAAAAGGCAAACATAAGACACATAGGTTAGTTAAAAAAGAGAACCCCATAAATTTGGATATAGGCTCCTTCAAGCATTGAAGGTTTTCTTTCACGCTTAAAGGGCCACACAATGCACTGTTGGTCTATGCTGTATTCGGGGAAAATGACAGAAGGCACCGATCACTCCTTTCTTTGCAGAAAAAAAAAATTTATTTATTATTTTTTTTTTTTACTTTCCTCCAAATATTTGATCACAGCAGGTCAGAGACATAGGAATGACAATCATCCCTTTCCTTATTGTTACCCTGGAAGTCTTGGCACATCTCAGGATTAACAGGCCTCAGGTTCCAAAGGGAACTCTGGTATGAAGTTGTTTTAGTGTCAACATAGATTGAGCCCTTGGCAGAGGACCTTGGATGTAGAGTTCAAAGGGGATCCAGCCAAAAGCATTGAGACTTGAGGACCGAGCAAAAACTCACTGATGGGTGGCCTGGAAAACCACCTCTTGACAGGCATGTCTTGAAGTGTCTAGACATCATTTCTACCAAAGTGTGCTCATCGGCCTCCATGGGTGACAACATATGAGTGGAAAACAGATGGTACATCATGTGAATGGAGCTCTTGGAGGCCACATCCCAGGGCAGTGATATTAGTACATAAGAGCATCTACCAAGGAAATCATTAAAGGTGAAGTGGCCAGTCTGGGTGCACGCAGTAAGAAGGTGGTTGCACTGCGGTTTGGTAAATCTCTCAATATGACCCTCAACCTTATGCCTTCAGCCAAGGCTTTAGTGGCTGTTACCCTCACCACAGCTGAATGAGGTACCTGGAAACCATCTAACATCAGCCCAAGAGCAACACCTAAGTCCGAGTGAGCACCTTTGTAGTGTCTAGTCCACCTTAACTCCAATGATTAGTCAGACTAAACATCATGGATAATAAAAATGTGGCTAATGGTTTTAATGCATTTATAACTATTTTTGCCCATTTTAAGTTATAACTTGTTTAAAAGTGGGATAGTTTAATACCAAAAATGAATTCCTTCAAGTGTGTTTTTTAAACTTCAAATTCTTAGGCCATGCCCCCTCCAATCTCCAGAGAATCTGCATATTTTAAATTTTTTTATTTTTTTAAATTTTTAAGTAATCTCTACACCCAACGTGGGGCTTGAACTTACAACCCCAAGATTAAGCGTCACACACTCCACCCACTGAGCCAGCCAGGTGCCCCAAGAATCTGCATTTTTTTTTTCTAAACCTCTCCACTGGTTCTGATGCAGGGCTCTGCTGGCCACACTTCGAGAACATCTCCTCAAGGACGGGGAGCTGAGAGAGATCCCTTTCACCTCCTGACCCACAGGAACACAGATGCAAATTTTTGAAAGACCCAAGAATATTCTTTCTATTTGTTTGTATAAAAAGCAAACCAAGACCTTAAAGCCTATCTTTAGAAGAAAGAAAAGAATGATACTGAAATATTCATTATTTAATCAATGTACAAAATACAGACATGGGGGAAATAACATTAATAATTAACATGTGCTGTCTTACACCTCAGGAAAGGGAAAGCAAAAAGCACTGACTTTAGGGTTTCATCATCTTTTGTTGAAGAAGCAAAGAATAAAGCTAGGTTTCCATTCTAAGAAAAAAAAAAAAACAAAAGAAAACAAAAGAAAAGAAACATGGACATGATCCAGACGCTCAAAGGACCCCAAACCGAGGGAGTTCACAGGTAGCCGTGCTGAACCACCAGACAGGGACCTGTGAGTTCATTGTTGATACTGACCCATTTGATTTAGTGCACAGCTTAGGGTCTTGCTTGATTTGGTTTCCAGTTTCTTCCAGTCAAGGGAACTCTACCCATCAAGAGTACATAAGTCTTGAAAAGAAAGCATGACTCAACACTCATTCTCCCCAGCCACATTTCCATCAGAAACTTTGCCCCATTTCTTCGTAATCCTTCTCTAGAGCGGCCAAGTCTTCCCTGGCCTCTGAGAACTCGCCTTCCTCCATGCCTTCCCTGAGGTACCAGTGCAGAAACGCCCTCTTGGCGTACATGAGGTCGAACTTGTGGTCCAGGCGGGCCCAGGCCTCCACGACGGCCGTGGTGTTGCTCAGCATGCACACAGCCCGCTGGACCCTGGCCAGGTCCCCTCCCGGCATCACCGTGGGTGGCTGGTTGTTGATGCCCACCTTGAAACCAGTCGGACACCAATCCACAAACTGCACAGAGTTCCTTGACTTCATGGCTGCAATGGCTGCATTCACATCTTTGGGGACCACGTCCCCTCTGTAGAGTAGGCAGCAGGCCATGTACTTCCCCAGCCGAGGGTCGCACTTGACCAGCTGATTGGAGAAGTCAAAGCAAGCAGCTGTGATGTCGGACACAGAGAGCTCCTCACGGTAGGCATGGTCAGCAGAGATGATGGGGGCAAATGTTGTCATGGGGAAATGTATTCTTGGATAAGGTACTAGGTTGGTCTGGAATTCAATGAGGTCCACATTCAAGGGCCCTTCAAACCGGAGGGAAGCAGTAATGCAAGATACCGCCTGACCTATTAGCCTATTAATGCTGGCGTAAGAGGGGCGCTCGACACCGAGTTTATGGTGGCAGATGTCATAGATGGCCTCATTGTCCACCATGAAGGTGCAGTCCGAGTGCTCCAGGGTGGAGTGTGTGGTAAGGACGGAGTTGTAAGGCTCCACTACAGCAGTGGAGATCCTGGGGGCTGGATAGACAGAGAACTCCAATTTCGTCCTCCTGCTATATTCTATCGAGAGCTGCTCCATTAAGAGAGATGTAAATCCTGATCCGGTGCCTCCTCCAAAGCTTCGGAAAATCAAAAATCCCTGAAGTCCACTGCACTGCTCTGCCTGGGGAAGCAAAGGACAGGTGAGACCTGGGCTACATGAACCCAGAAGCAGTGGTAGTGGGAAGACAAGAAGTTCCCCTAAACAAACAAAACTTTCAGAAAGGACGGGTGTACCCTTATTAATGCCCCAGTAACACATGCGAGTGGTTACCTCTGGGGTAGGGGAAGTGCTTTAGAATTTCACTATAAGCAAAGCATAAATATTCAACTGTCTTCAGCTGTCCTCCACGAATTTATCTGCATGTGACCTAAAGCAAGGTCTTTCTTAGTAACAAACAAAATGGCCAAATATTGAAGCAACCTACTCCCCGCCCCCCAGAAGATGAAGTACCTATCACGTCTACATCCAATCTACTAGCCGGTGTCAAAGGCATTGTATTGCTTAAGGATTATGCCAGACACCAAAATATGTACTAGACAAAGGATTCCCCAGATGCAGGTCCTTAAAGAAGAGTTCACTGACAGTAACTAGAGTAACTAATCTCCTGGTAGGATGTGCCTCCTCTTAACTTCACGAATAATGGATATTACTGGAAAAGGACAAGTGTTAGGATGCTTTGGAAGTCTGTGATAACAAGGTGAGCCATGATGAGCGGGCAGAAGCAAGAGTAGAGGGGGGTTAGCCATTAAAAAGAAGGACATCCTGCCATCTGTCACAGCATGGATGGACCTTAAGGGCATTATGCCAAGTGAGATAAGTCAGACACAGAAAGACAAATACTGTATCATCCCATTCATATACGTGGAATCGGAAAATGTCAAACTCATAGAAACAGAAATTATGCTGAGCGAAATAAGTCAATCAGAGAAAGACAAGTATCATATGATCTCACTGATATGAGGAATTTGAGATTCCTCAAATGAAACAAGATGAAGCCGGAGAGGGAGATAAACCATAAGAGACTCTTAATCTCAGGAAACAAACTGAGGGTTGCTGGAGTGGAGGGGTGGGAGGGATGGGGTGGCTGGGTGATGGACATTGGGGAGGGTATATGCTATGGTGAGCGCTAGGAATTGTAAGACTGATGAATCACAGACCTGTACCCCTGAAACAAGTAATACATTATATGTCAATTAAAAAAAAAGAGAAACGGAAAGTAGCACAGTATCTGCTGTGTAACGGGGAGATGTTGGTCGGAGGACACAGACTTCCAGTTAGAAGATGAGTCAGTTCTGGGGAACTAATGGACAGCATGGTGACTTTGGTTAACAATACTGTGCTGTACGCTTGAAAGTTGCTAAGAGAGTGGATTTAAACGTTGTCACCCCCCCCCATACACACACGGCAACTGTCCTGTGGCCATCACTGTGCAAATATGTGTGTATCAAATCATCATGTGGAACACCTTAAATTGACACGATGTTGTATCTCAATAGAGCAGTGGAATAAACCAAAATATTTCCTTCTTCACCCTTCCTATAAAACAAAGCGTCATCAAAGCCAACAGCAAGGCGCTTCCTGGCTGTGAGCTTCCGTGGGAGAAGCCGGTGGCAGTGACCCGGGGGGTAGGAATCACGGTGCTGTCTGGAAGGCAGATCCCAGGCACTCAGGTATGGCCCCCAACTAAGGAGAAAGGGGCCACTTGCCAGCTTTCGGATCCTCTCTAGCACAAGGTCGATGATCTCAGACCCCAGAGAGTAGCGACCGCGGGCGTAGTTGTTCGCGGCATCTTCCTTCCCGCTGACGAGCTGCTCTGGGTGGAAGAGTGAGCGGTGCTGGCCAGCTCGAATCCCATCTGCAGAGGGGACATGAGGTCAGCACGCGCCAGTCCAACTGCTAGCCCTTTGCCGATTCAACTGCCAGCCCAATGCCAATTTCCCCCGTGTTGCGGTAAAGAAAGGGCCCTCAACCGCTGAGCCGGCCTTCCTGAGTCTAGGAACAGTATCATTATTTCCAGACAAATTGAAAGTACGTTTTCCCATTGTAGACCCTTTGTTAGTTTCTTACGGCTGCTGTAACAAATTACAACACACTTGGTGGCTGGAAACAAGAGAAATGTTTGCTCTCACCGGTGGTTCAGGAGGCCGGAAGTCCAAAGTCAAGGTGTTGGCAGGGTTGGTTCCTGCCCGAGGTCTCAGGAAAAAGCTGTTCCTGGCTTAGGGCTGCACCACTCGTGCCTGCCACCATCACTCATGCCCACCCCCCCACACACTGGGTCCCCTCTTCCTCTCATAAGGACACAGACCCCTGGAGTTAGGGCTGACCCCAATCCCGTAGGATCTAACTTAGTACACTGGCAAAGACCTTCTTTCCAAATAAAGGCATATTCCGAGGTTCTAGGTGGACACCGATTTTTAAGAGACACTCTTCAAACCCTGTGACACTCTGGTATTCTAAGGCAAGTATTTCTATCTACAAATAGCCAACTGAGTGCCGGAAAAGCAGGGAAAAGCGGACCGATCTAAATTATTACTAGTCTGCTTTAAAAAAGAGGCTTTAACAAAGAAGGTGTGAAGAGCTCGAATGCCCACCCAACTCGAATGCAATTGATACAAACACAAGAAGCAGGGAAATTGGGGTTAAGATGCTGGTAGTCTTCAACCCAGCCAAGGGCAACTCCTGCCTGGTTTTCCTCCTCTTAAAAACCTGCTCAGCATGAGAAAATACCCAAACACAGGTGTCTTGGGCCCATGTCCTGCTCCCCAAGCCTAGAATTACCCAGATAGCACGACTCCTACAGAATCACGCATTGGTGTTTGAAGGCTAAGCAGACTCTGGGAACGTTGCCCAGGTTACAGGGGGACACAGTGCTGCACAGTATTCAAGAGCATGGGTCCGAGAATCCATTTCCCAGGTTCACGGTTTCCTTTGTCACTTGGCTATCCAGCAGTTCCTTAGCATCCCTAAATATCAATGACCTCACCTCACATATAAGGATAACAAGACCTACCCCCCTGAGCTACTAGGAGGATTACATGAGATCATAGGGCACAATGCAGAGCCCATATGGCAACGATTATAAATAATAATGACACAATTGCCTTCAAGACATGTACCTATGCTAATACCGCATCGGCCTCATCACCAGATACCTATAGATAGTCCTAGAAGCTCACTGCCTAAGGGGAAACACTCAATTTCTAAGAAAGAGACGATATGGCAATCTCAATTCACCTTGCTCTCCTGTCCATGACCATGAATTTCTAACCACAATTTTGTACACCTCCAAATGCTTAAATTTACTAGAATTGATTTAAAGGACTCTTAAGTAACATACACACAACAAAAAAGTAAACAAAACAACAAACCAAAAAAACCAAGAAAGTGGAAAGTTTTAAAAGGTGTATTTATAAACACAATGTAAGTGGGCATATAACTCTGGGTGGACTCTTTGCTTCTCACCTGCAGCTAATAAGGCTGAGTTCAAGCTAAGAAGGGAATTTCTGGAATTTTGGAAGCCTGCTTCTTCGTGGTAATGTCCAGTGGAGATCTTGAGGGTCATCCATAAATTCTTTCGGTAAAAACCACTTTCTTGGAGATCAGTGATTATAGCACTGCCATTTATGAGCACACCCAAGCTGTCCACTCTCACTTCCTGGCACTTTTTCCACTTGGCTCAGAGACGTGAGCATCTGGCCCAGCATCCTTAACCAGCATCCTCAGGGAGTTCAATGGTATTTAAACATGATTATTTGACAGTTCCTTGCTCCCTTACTTTCAATGCTATTAGCCCCAGTCCACTGGAAATCACTCACAACTGTCCCCCCGCCAAAATCTTAAAGATGCAAAATCCTTTCTCCAACCAAACTTCCTTACTTCCCCCTTCTCGCCCATGACCCAGCTCGACAATCTTTCCAGCTTCCTGTCCCCATCGCTCTCCTACTCACACCCTGTTCCTGTTCAAGGTGCGCGTTCCTCCACGCCTCTGGGAAGCTGGCAACGCTGCTCCCTGGGTCGAAGACGTTTGACGGCTCCCCAGCTATTCATCCCTTCCTTGGGGATACCTCTGCACCTCACAGACATTTCAATTGTTATTAGGTTGATTCGGAGGACGCTGACATTTTTTACATAAAAAATAATCGACCGTGGGCAATTTTATATGGCTCAACTGAACACGTGTGTTAGTGTTGCTACGACCATTTACATTTTCTTCTCCACTAGCTTATGCTACTTTTTTGTTAAAAGAGAATGGCTTTTTATTAGTTCGCAAACCTGGGGTCAAACCCAGTTCTACCTTCGATAGCTCAGCAATCTAAGGCCAGTTCCATGGCCTGCCCAAGACTCAGCTTCTTCATCTGTTAACAGAGTATAGCAATAAGGTTTCCTGACACAATTGTTGAAAGGATTATAGGAAAATATCTGTGTGGTTCCTCGCTAATAAACAGTAGCTTCTGTGGACTGAATGTTTGTGTCTCCTCAGGATCCATACTTTGAAGCCCTCCCCACAGTGTGGTGATGTTAGGAGGTGGGGCCTTAGGGAGGTGACTGGGCCATGAGGGTGGGGCCCTCGTGAAAGGGGTCAGTGCCCTTGCAAGAGACCAGCTGTGAGGACACGGTGAGAAGGCAGCCGTCTGCAAATTGGGAAGAAAGCGCTCATCAGACACCAACCACGCTGCCACCCTAGTCTTGGACTTCCCGCCTCCACAACAGTGAGAAGTAAATTTCTGTGGTTTAAGCCCCCAGTCGACGGTATTTTGTTAAAATGGCCTGAACTCACTAGGACAGTAGGAGAGAAGGGTTGGAAGGTACGGACATTTGTTCATCCCTATGCTCCTCTCCATTACCTAGCTGGAATAAATGTTCATTGAATTCACTGAATGATGTTAAATTCTTTCTCATCACAACCTGGAGCTCCCACCGTTTTCATCTTCCACCCCTCCTCCCTTCACGTTAGCTTCACTGGTCTGCTCACACGGCCTGGCCCTGTGATCAGAGCCATGCACTTGCCACCAGCCCCACATCCCTGCCCACCCTGCCTCGCATATCATGGGCACCATCCACCCCAGCTGTGCTCTCCACCCCTTCGGGCCCACACTCAGCACACCCTTCACACTTCCCTTGACCCTCTGTCCTCTTCTCCAAATGTGCATTAAACCTCTTCTTTCTCTGAGTTCTCACACAGCATCACCCCATTATTCTAATCACAGAACTCTCGATGAACACCTTCCTCCTTACCACAAAATCCTCAGTCTCTACCTAGAGAAGGAGATGCACAACCCACCCTCTCCGTGCTTCAGGTCCCCTCACTCACTCTGAACCCTCCTCCTTCCCTCCCCTCCCTCTCTCCTTTGTTCTGCCTACAAATATCTTCAGTAGAATTCTACTCCACAATTACAACTAAAAGTCACCTTTCCTTCCTTCTAAAACCATTCGGGCTGGCTTTGAACAAGATCACCTACTTTCACAGCCTTTTAATATCATCTCTGTAGGATAACTTTTCACTGAACACCTCTGGTTCCCATCTTCTACCAGGACCAACCTGTGGACACTTCAAATTCCTCATGCCCAAATGGAACTTATCTACTCCCACAAACCTAGGTCCCCCTCTGGAATTCCTATGTCATTTATCAATCCCATTATTGAAACAGTGAAATCTGAGTGGCACCTCTGAATTCTCTCTAGAACATTCATGGACACGTAATCCGCTCCTCTGTTTTAGATGAGTGTCTCTCAAATCTATGTTCTCTTTTCCATACTCGGTCCATACATCACAAAACCTTGTAACTTTCTCCAATCCACTCTTTCTAGATCAGTACCTGGCACTTTAGCAGGTGCTAAAGAAATGTTGAATAAATTAATGAATAAATCTCTGTGATTAATGTTATTGAAGTATAGTTCTCAATCTGTCTTTTCCCTGCTCTAAAATCTTTACTGGCCCCCTATTTCCTATCAGGTTCACACCACACAAATTATTCAAGGAAATTCCATAGTCGGCCTCCACTCCAGTTTATGTCTTCTGTGACTCTGATATATCAACATCCTCCCCCTTTTCAAGCTGAAACAATATTCACAGGTATCTGAATGTGTCTTTGCTTGTGCTTTCCAGCCTCTCTCACCTGTGAACTGTTAAAATCCTCTTACCCAGTCTTCAGGACTCAGACAGAGTATCACTTTGTCCATAAAGTCTTCTCTGATCTCTTCCAGAGAGGTAAGGCTCATGCCCTCACTTCCTTCAGATCCCTACGTGTCACCTTCTCTACAAGGCCTTCCTCGGCATTCCTTAAGAAAAAGCACCTCCCACCACTCACACAACATTCCCTATCCCTGTGGCCCTGCTTTATTCTTCTCCATGCCACTGATCACAACATCAGGCACATGATTTGGTTTTTACAGGTCTGCACCCCACTAGAATGTAGGTTCCATGAAGACTCAGAGTACACCTCCAATATCAAGAATAGTGCCTTGCACGTCTGAGGCTCTCTAATGTGCTGAGAAGAACAAGGAAAATCAATGCCTTCTCCTAAAACCTGGAGCTTATGCCTTTTTGTTTGGACCAGCTCCAGATCCTCAAAACTGCCCTCTCTCTACGCTGTATTCTAGAGGATTGGGGAATTTCTTCTGGTCTCTTCCTGCCATGTATCTCTGCCCTGACTTGCTTATTAGCTTCTGATTCCAGATCCTAAGCCTCCTATTTGCCTAGCATCTTCGGATTGGTACTAGTTAAAATATCTGCTACAAAAAAAAAAAAAAATATCTGCTATAATATTCGTAATACTGAGATGTGGCCTCTCATGCTGCTTCTTTAGCTACATTTACCAAAATCCTCTGGGGACATATTCCACTCTGCCCAGGTTTCTGGGATACCAGATTCCAGCTAAAGCTCACAGTTGCAAACCCCCATTTGTCTGAAACAAAAATTGAGATATTCTCTTCAGGCACTTAGAACTCAAGTCAGAAGACAACGTAACTGCCTCTCTTAGCCTCCATACAAATCTCACCTGTTCTTGAAGCCACCAATATTTCCTTATTTTTAATCCTTTCACACCCAGCAAACATGGAAACTGCATTTAGGAGTCCTGGCCTATACAGTTCTTACCCTCCCCCCCCACCCCGTACTAACACTTTCCATCGTTTCCTTCCCATGGATGTCGATCTACTTTCACCATCAGTTACTTGACCTGACCTGGTTCTGATAAGGAAATGAACTCCAATCCAGTGTGTACAGACTGCTTTTTCCAAAGATGGCCACAAGAACGTTTTCCATCTCTCATATGCTTCTAGAACCTCGCTCTTTCTACATCAAGAGGTAAGTCTCTATTCTCTTCCTGGTTGGATCTCTGTAATGGTCTCAAACCATCAAACAACGGCAATGAAACACTGGGACTTCCGAGCCTAGATTAGAAAAATGCCATGGACTTCTGCCTTGTGCTCATGTGATGCTTGCTCTTGGAACCGAGCTGCCATGCCATGTTTCTGGACAAGATACTACAAAGTCTGCCATTAATAATCATAAAGTTGTACTGATTTCCCCACAGTTAGATTTGTCTGGTTCCTTGCCTCTTTGGAATCATGTTCAGGTAATGCCAAATTTCAGATTCTTTGTTGGAACCTTCTAGCAACTGGCTTTCAAATCCAAGAAAAAATCTAATCTTCTGTGACAACAGATGTGTGTAGAGAAGTTAACAAAGTCTGAATTTGTTTCATCACACAGAAAAAGAAGGCTAAGCAAGTACTCCCTCTGGGTATGTTTCATGCCGATCACCTTAAGTGGTCACAAGTGAACTTCTAGATTTAAAAAATGTCCCCATGATCCTATTCAAACAGATCCATATAATCTGAGGATTCCATCCACTGGTACTGGATTTGTTAGCTTTGAGTGTGGACCTGGTTGAATGCATGCCTTACATTACCTATAACAGCGGGCTCCAGATCCATGAAGAGTGCTCTGGGCACGTGCTTCCCAGCTCTCGTCTCACAAAAGAAGGTATTGAAAGATGCATCCATATGCTCCATGTTCTCACTTTCCAGTTGATCCTTTCTACTGTTGAGAACAACGCCATCTGGCTGGATTCCATGTTCCAGGCAATAGAGTTCCCAGCAAGCATCCCCAATCTGGATACCAGCTTGGCCAATGTGGATGGAAAGGCACTCCCTCTGAAATAAGCCGGAGGAAGTTAGAACTAATAGCCTTTCTAGATAACGGGAGCTTGGTCACTCAGTAATGCTGCTCACAGTCAATAGAAACCAAGCTCGCATATGCCAACAAGAGAAATGTATGATAAGGCTAATTGAAAGTGTCTCATGGAAACCAAAAACCAGGGCACAGGTACGCAAAGGACTCCCATTTTACTGAAAGATTTCTTTCAACAACATAATTTAAGGATATTTTTTGTGTAACGGGTTAAGTGTGAGTTAAGAATATATATACATAATATACTATATATGTATAAAATCAAGCTGCCTCACCCAGAAAAATATTAGCTAGTTACCAGAAAGGAATAAAACCAAAAATCAATGTATAACCTTGACATATATTAAAACCATTGCAATTAAAGATGTTATTTTCATATCTTGAGATTTTATATTTACTATTCATATGTGCTCTAAAGAAGGAAGGATGTTCTAAGCATAAAAGTAATGGAAAATTTACCAAGGGAACATGTAATAGATTTCACAACCCAAAAATGTAAAAACTCAATATTGTAATAAAGAAGAATAATGATGTATACAAAAAATGACTTATATATAGTCCTTCATAGTAAGGGCTATCAATAAGGCAATTTTATATACATTTTAATTAAAAAAAAACACTTGAGGGGCGCCAGGCTGGCTCAGTCAGCAGAGCATGTGATGCTTGATCTCAGGGTTGTAAGTTCAAGCCCCACGTTGGGTGAAGAAATTATTTAAAAATAAAATCTTTAAAAACCCAACCAAACACTTGAGATAACTAGTATATAAATAGGCAGATGACATACACAGATGGATTATTTTTAAAAATCTAAAAATGCAAAGATTTAGGCACAAGGGCATTCACAGTATTATTATTTATAAGAGTGAGGATCAAGAACCAATCTACATTTGCTTTTGTTGGGCATTTGAAGAAAGAGTTATGCAACCCTTAAAAGTTTACCCCCAAAATTTTATGACATGGGAAAAGCTTATGATAAAAATGAAGTAAAAGTTACACAAGTCGTATAATTGTATATAAAGTATGATATCAAATACATTAAAAAATAAGCAGAGAAAAAGATCTATAAATGCATCAAATATGGGGGCGCCTGGGTGTCTGCCTTCGGCTCAGGTCATGATCCCAGGGTCCTGGGATCGAGCCCCATGTCGGACTCCCTGTTCAGCGGGGAGTCTGCTTCTCCCTTTCCCACTCCCCCTGCTTGTATTCCCTCTCTCACTGTCTCTCTTTATCTCTGTCAAATAATAAATAAATAAAATCTTTAAAATAAAATAAAATAAAATGCATCAAATATTAACTGTCATTATATCTGGGCAGTGGTTTTTTTCCTTGTTTAAACTCTACTGTTTTCCATCACCCTCATCAGCCTCCACTCTCCCATTCCACGTTTAAATCACCATTCACATCTTTCTTTTTAAAGGCCAACAACCATTTTGGTCTTTTAAACAGACATGAATATGTACTCATCTAAGAGAAGGAAAGAAAAAGTTAGATCCTAAAAAACCACAAGGGCAGCAATCGTGCATCTGAATGTTGTTGGGTTCTGGTTGCCAGTGGGCATGGGACGGGTCTGGGTGGGGGGCTCGTGGGGTGAGCAGCCTGTTCTCCACATCATCGGGGCCCCGCCAGCTGTTCACCTACTGAGCTGATCGGCAGCCCTGCCCTTGTCCAGGCTGTTCTTCCCCTAGACAAGGTCTGAGATTCAACCACGAAAAGACCACTAGTCCAGGGAGGAAGGGAGCTCTGGGCGGTCACAGCCCTGCAATCCGACTTGGACTCTGTTCCCGCTCCGCCGCATCAAGCCCTCATACTTTGTCTCCTTGATTCACAAGGCTTAACACAGCCCTCTCTGCTTTATGAGGAATTCAAGCTCACTACTTGAGTAGAACTTGCCCCTTGTTTCTTCTCCATGCATTTCTGGGTCTCTCATGACAAAGGCTGTGAGCTCAATTCAGAAAGCACCTCACTCAGCACCAACCCAGATTCCAACCTCTGACCGGCACATAAAAAAAATCAAACAGCATGTACCATCATGAACAAGCTTCTAACATGCTTGTCTGCAAAGCTCGGCTTCATTCCTCCCACATCTGCTGGACTGCAAATGATCTCAGTGCGTTAGCTACTGTAATCAGATCCAAACTCCCTAGATTTAGGTAAAAATGCTGGACGGGAGGTGCATTTCATGGTTTCCCCATCATTGGACCCACTTACATGTCGATTTCTCTCACAGCACCCCCCAACTTACCGCCCAGGCCACGGGGGGTGCACATGCATTTGCTCCAAGTACTCACAGAAAAAATAATCACCAATGTGGAAAAGCAATTGCTGCTCTTCACGAGGTCTGTTACCCAAGGGGCACAGACGTTCAGACATGGTCATGATACTACTCTTGTGAACCTGGCAGGAATACCTGGCCCAAGAAGGACCAATCATACCCTTCCTGGTTTGAGAAGCAGCTGAGTTTATGACGTAACTGTGTTCCAGGGCACAGAAGGTTATCTTCACCTTCTTCTCTTAGCCATTCCCTCCTTTCCAAACTGTCTGTTAAACATTAGTCACACTGTCAGATTGTAAACTGCCCATTCAATATCAATATTATCAATCACATCACGTTAGCTGCTACAATGCCTATCTGAATTACTAGGAAGGCACAATTTTCTAATTAACTTTTTATTTTGAGATAAAGATAAGTAATAGATTGATAGGCAGTCGTAAGAAAGAATAAAGATCTCATGTGCCCCGTACCCATTTTCCCCAGCGTTAGTATCTTGCAAGATGATACAGAACAATATCACCCCCAGAATACCAAAATTTAGTCAAGCTACAGAACGTTTCCGTGACCACAGGGATCCCTCATGCAGGAAGGCATAATGTTTAAGAGCAAAACAACTTCAACATCCTTAAAATGTTGGAGAGAGAGAGAGTCCAAGGGGGTGAGAACATCAAAGATGAGAAATCAGAATGAAAAGCTGCTTCCATTAAGAATTTAAAATTCTAAGATACCAAAAACTACTGGGACTAGCACATAAGACATTAAAGGGAAAGTGGATCTTAAGAGATGATCCCCCAACAGGAATTACTGTAAGTAACTATGTTCATTGTTGTCCCCCAAGAACGAAACTCGAGAGAGGACGAGAAGATGTCTGTGAACTTTACCCTGCCATGCATTTATGAGCTTAGCAATGATGACCTGGGTCTGAAGTCCCCAGAAACTCTAAAAGCATAACTAAAAGTGAAACAATTGATTTCTACAAAAAAATCAGCACAGCAGGTTTAAAACAAACATAGAACTAAAGGAAGGAGGGGTTCTCGTTTCAACACTTCAGTTAAAAGCAGTATTTAACATGCACATCCACTAAGCTTTTCCTAAAAGCAGCAAAACCACAGATGAACAGACGAGAGCTTATCCAAATCTGCCTCAAACACAGTTACTGGAAGAAGCAAATGCCTCCTTAAAAATCTCTTCTCTTGTATTACGAATGTATTAAGGATAGTTTGGCAGGGAAGAGGGCCAAGTATGATGAGTAAGATTTGCTACAACACCGCGGCAACACTGATAAGCACGTATGAGGACCCTAGCCACTTACCATGCTGATCTGGAGGTACCCCCGCTGGGCTGCAGCAATGACGAGCCGCACGCCCAGGCAGACTTTATCACAGGGCAGGAAATGACTCCACCTGAGGGCTGCGACACCTGCTTCACTTAAAGCAGTACAGCCCCTTCTTGGTTTTTCTGTTCTCTTCCCCAGAGCGCCCGTGCGGGACCTGAACAGCCTGAGATACTCTGTGCACAACTACAGGTGGTATCCTTAGAGCTTACCCAAATCTACTTCCAACTTAAACCTGTTTTGGTTAAAAATAACAGTTGTCTTCTTAAAAAGATCCTCCTCCTGGATTAAGAATGTATTAAGCATGAATGGGGAAAGAGTAGGAGTAAAATTTGCTGCAACAGCAAACAGCTTTTTCTAGCACATAAGTACTACATGAGTATCTTTAAGTAAGATTCAAACAATCCCTGGGGACATAGAGCAAACCAACAAAGTATCCTTTTTACCTCCCATCTCCTACTCATGCACCTTGACCGTGACCACCGCGACTTCCAAATGTATGAGGATTTTCTACATTTCGGTTATTACTAATTTTATTATTTGTTCTATTCTAAATTGTGATATTATTACATATAACATACACCTATACCGTTATTTTTGATTATTTGAGTTAAGATCAGAGAACATACTCTAAATGATTTCTCTCTTTATATATGTGTCAAGACAACCCTGATGTTCTGCTATATGGCCAATTTTTTAAAATGTTCTGTGAATGCTTGAAAAGAATGTATTCTGTAGTTTGTTGGATGCAATGTTTTATATACACATTTCAAACTGATTTACTGTGTAGTCTAAATTTTCAGTATTGATTCCTTTTAAAGATGTGTTAAATTTTTTCCATTATGATTGTTGATTGTTTCTCTGACAATTTTTGCTTTATATATTTTGAGGCTATGTTATTAAGAATATGTAAATTTTAAATTGTTAGATTTTCTATGGAATTGAAACATTCTATCACTTTATTTTATTTTTTTTTAAAGATTTTATTTATTTGAGAGAGAAAGGGAGAACATGAGGAGGGGGACGGTCAGAGAGAGGGGGAGAAGCAGGCTCCCCACTGAGTAGGAAGCCTGACATGGGACTCGATCCCAGGACCCTGAGATCATGACCTGAGCCAAAGGCAGATGCTTAACCAACTGAGCCACTCAGGTGCCCCCACATTCTATCATTTTAAAATGACTATACCTACGAATGATTTTGCTTTAAACTCTTTATTATTGAATAGTAATATTATTACGTTAATATAGTTTTCTTGGTTAGTGTCTGAATGATGTCTTCTCTGTCATTTTACATTCTTAGAATTTAAAAACCTTTCAGTATTCTCATATTCTTGATGTGTCCTTTGTAAGCATAATGTA